AAGAGCATCAGCACCATCTGAGTACTTCCTAGAAATGCCACTTCTCAGGTCCCACCCAGGACCTACTGAATGCAAAGGTCTGAGGAGGGGCCCAGCAATCTTGTTTTGCCAGGTCCTCTGGTCCGATGCAGGCTCAAGCCTGAGAGCCTCTCGCCAACCCAGATGTTACATGCCTGCAGGGATCATCTGCCAAACCTCCCTTCTGATTCTTCCTGCCCACTGTGAAGCTTCATGTCCTGGCCACTGAGCAGACAGGCTTTATTCCTCCGTGTGCTTTCTTGCTCAGTCCAAGTCTCACTTGCTCCTTTTCGTTCCTTAGAGGGGAGTCATTTCTCTGCGTCCCTTCTGTCCGGCCCACATGATTGAACAATGACCTTAAGTATCTCCTTCAACCCAGAAACTTGCATGTTTCCTTCAACTTGCAGCCTTACTAAGACTTCGAGTGCATTTTTCATTCCCAGGCACATAGTCCTCATTAATTCATTCCCTGGTGCCCCTGCTGATTCACACTGTTGTTACTCACTGTTCCTGGTTTTTGAACTTTAACAGAGGGATATGAACAGGCAGGGAACTTCCATGTATGCGGCCACTAAGCACTGAGCAGCAAAGCCTCAGCAAGGCCATCAGTGTGAAGATGCGAGCGGTGTCCCTCCCGGCCCAGAGCATCCTGCCCCGGGCGCAGGAGACAGCTGCTGAGCAACGGGTTTCTGCAAAGTGAGGGAAGTTCAAGTAGCACTCAGCCTTGAAGGCAGCTCTTTCCTGCCTAAAACCAAGGGTGTTTGTAAGACCTTTCCTACCACATAAGGGTAAAGAAGAAGCCTTGTACTTTTTCAGCAGACATTTGACGGAGAACAGCCCCGAAGGAAGGGCCTCGGGCTCTCCACTGATCACACGTGGCTCAGACATGCTAGGAAGCTCAGTACTTTATTTGGGGTCCTGGACAAATAGGTACAGATAACTGAAGTGTATTTGGCAGTCAAAGACGGAGATAGATGAGGCCTGTGTGGGGGAAGGCGGCCAGGTGGGAGGCTGGGCTCACTTGCCACAGAGCAGGGCTGTCGCTGTGGGCTTCACGTGTTGCCAGCTGTGAAGTCCCCGCTCTGGTCGCCTGTGGGGTTGACTGTCCCCCTTTTGGCTTCGCATCAGGCCCTGTCTTCCTCCCCATCATCAGGTATGTCCATTCCTGTCCGCACATAATCCACAGGCCACATATTCTGGGTGGCTTGATGCCAGCTCTGTGGTGCGGACACGAGAAGTGTACTGTCTAGTGTCAATCGACACAAGTACGGTTAGTCTCCAGGCAGCAAGTTGAGACAGAGGAGCATTCCCAGCTCACCTGACTAGTCTCCTTAAAGGCTAACCCTCGAAGCCTCGGTTTCCTGAGATGTTGCCACTGTCACGCCTAACTCCCAGGACTTTTTTATTGAAGTGTCGTTGATTTGCAATGTTAGTTTCAGGTGTACAGCGAAGTGAGTCAGTTATACATGTACATACATACGTACTTTTCTTTTTAGATTATTTTCCATTGTAAGTTATTACGAGAAATTGAATGTAGGTCCCTGTGCTGTACAGTGGGTCCCTGTTGTTTATCTCTTTATTATATACTAATGTGTGTATCTTAATCCCCAACCGCCAACTTATCCCTCCCCACCCTTTCCCCTTTGGTAACCATAGTTTGTTTTCTATGTCCATGAGTCTGATTTTGGTTTTTAAATAGAATTTGTTTCTTTTTTTGTTTTAGATTCCACATATAAGAGATACCATATCATATCTGTCTCTCTCTGTCTGACTTCCTTCAGCATCTTTGTGAAGTTTAAATGAGATAACATGTGTGAGGGACACCCACTGCCATGCCTGGCGTAGAGCACGCCTGGTAAACACTACATCCCTCCCCTCCAGTCCTCAGCCATCAGGCTGCTGTCTGCATGCTCCTTTGCCAGTGATGAAGTCAGAGGGGCTGAGGGGCACTGAGGCCCGCGGGTCCGGCCGAGGGGCCACTAGGGGACATTTCTTTGTAAACTTGGCACTGACCTCCCCTTCACGGCTATTTTTCCTTTTAACTGTTTTCATTCCAGACTCTCAGTTTTACAAACACATCTAGATGCCAAAGGCAATATTTACTCTCTTTTTTTTTTTTGGCTTATAGCTTTGCCCAAAGCAATCTAAATAGTAGTGAGAGGGAAAAGGAAGCAGCTCCTTATTTTATTTAAGGTTCTGAACAAATAGGCATCAAGGTCTTAAGCACTGATGTAACGTCTGCTCAGGCAAAAAGGTGGTTAAGCAATCTCGCGCAGTCAGGACGCCACCGCTCCTCTTGTTAACACGGGCAACAGAGGGAATAGAATGTCCGTACGCAACATAGCAAAGGGTCAGAGATGTGGCCTGGTTCTGAGCTAAATATGTACATCACCTTTCTTTTTTGATATAAAAATACTCATTAAATATTTGTTAGCAAATAGGCACAAACTAGTCTACATAGTCTGGTGGACTTGATGACGTTGGTCTGACTAGAGACAGACAAGTCAGCATTCCAGAGTCAGGATTCTTGACCTGAATGTTCATCAGGCCAGTAGAACTCCCCTTGAGTCAATGGCTGTTCACAGGATGTCAGGCAGAAAGCCTTGGGTACCGTCTCTCTGTTATAACCTGTTTCCTCCCATCTCTTCTAAGTGAAACTGCTTAGCTCAAGAGTCCTTCATTGGGCAGTCACAGGTGGGATTTCTGTTTCATGGATGAGGAGAGGACGTGGGAACCCAGGGCACCTATTGCCTGGACTCATCAGGGGCTTATGAAACGGTTTACTGTGAGTGGAAGAGCTGAGACACTGCCACGCCTTCTTGTACTAGGAACACGGAGAATGCGGTGGTGGCCTCATTGCTTCGATCAGAGCTGAAGCTCACAGAATCCCATTAAAAGGGAATGCAGGGTGGCCATAATGAGCCCTATGCAAAACAAACTGACCAGAAACAGAGCAGAGGCTATGCAGCCCAGAAAACATATAGAGTAGAAGGTATAGAAGCCAGCCGATACCAGGACAGGGAGTAAGAGACGCCCAGAAGTTCTGCACTGTGCAGTGCGGGAGCGCCTGAGCCCAGGAGCGGACGCCTGTTGCGGAAGTCTTCAGATCATCCTTAGACCTGGGGACCCTTCAGGTCATGTGTCCGTGAAATTTGCTCTAATGGTAGCTCCTGGTTACCCACTCCCCCCTGTTGTCCTCCATGAGAATTTGTCCCCCTTTCACTCCATGCCATGCAGTTGAGCTGACTTGAGTGAGTCCCAGACACTTGCAACCAAAAAAGTTAACCATAACATATTTCTTCTCTGTCTGTCTGGCCACACTGAAATACTGACTTTTATCACAGATTTAGCCTTTGAGCTCTCCCCACCTTTTTCTGTGAAATAAAGAAGAAATGCTTCTCTTGGCTTCTAGAAAGAAGCATAACAAAAGGTAACTGAAAACCCACTTTTTTTTCATTTTTCACAAATAGTAATCTCCATTTTGCCATTCTTCTGTAAATTGGGATTCATGATTTCAAGTTTCTCTGAGAATTTGCTCTGCTCTGGCTCTGACTGGTCCACATAGCTTGTTAAGTGACTCAGAGCCCCTCTGTCCTCAGTGTCATATTGACTCATGCAGAGAAGGACCACAGTGGAGTTAAGAGCTGCCTTGGGACTGTAACTTTTAAAAGAAATGTCTTATGTATTTATATGTTCTTATTCTGAAAGTTACATATGCTCACTGGGAAAGAATGGAGACAGCAGAAGAGTAAAAAGAAAAGACACTCACCTATAAACTTGGAGAAAAACAAATCACAGTTAAAATCTATACATGTCTTGTCTTCATTGTCTTTGCATGTTAAGAACCAGTTGAGGTCACCTGGTACAGACATTGCTGAAACCTCACAGCTCACTTAGCGTTACAATGTAAACATCTTTCCAAGCTCTGAAACAGCTCTTTGCAAACATCAGTTTTAATAGCTGCCTGCTAGCCCAGCAAATGGAATTTCATCACTCCTATATACCTAATAATTGCACAGTGTCCAACACTTGTTTACAATGTTTGGCTGATATAAGTAACTATGTAGTGGGTATTTAGTGCATGTTTTGGCTGATTGTTTGCAGATGGATTCCTGAATGTGCAATCACTGGGAAAGAGCTTTCTTTAGCTCATTTTTTAAGGCCCCTGAAAGGCTTTTGTCAAACTTGGAGACATTTTAAATTAAACATCTTGTCCTCTTGGAATCTGTTAACTCTCATGAAAATTCGATCGCTGGGTAGTTGTCAGGAAGCCTGGCTGTCAGAGCTCCTGATGACTAAGGCCGCCTCTGTGCCTAGGTAACTTTGCGGTTTGGAAATGTCACAGAGGAATAACCTGATTTTCTCCTCAGAAAGTTTGACCAGATGAGTGGTCTTGGCTAATCTCAAGTAGGAGTTTGGTGGATTAGACTGCTGGGTTGGGTCTTAACCAGATTGTTATCAAAAGTAAAAAAAAAAGTAATCAGTTATATACACACTCCCATATACACATGCGTATGTACAAAATACTTCCCTCCACCTTTAAGACCACCTGCTTGGCAGGAGATCAGAGTTGGGGGTGGGGAGCGTGAACTGAGAAGGAAACACACTGCTCATCCCACCCCCACCTCTGCTTCAACAAGAGGACCTGCACTTGCTTCTCTGTACTTGCCCTCTGGCTGAACCATCTTTTGAAGAAATGATACTTGGAGAGTGGGGGATGGAAGAATTCAAGGGCACCAGTCTGGAGGCTATAGGTTTGCGAAAGAGACGCTGAAAAGGGTTGGCCTCCTTCTGAATTTGTTGTAGTGTCATGACTTTGTTTGAAGTGCAGTACATTTTTAAACTATCCAGAAAATACGACTGTTAATGCATATATTGAAATCCAGAAAGGGAAACAGAAATGAAAGAGGATTTATTACTTGTCATTTAATTTTTTTTCAATGCCCATGTTTAAATGATGTTTAAAGTATTCTGTGTTATAGGTAGGGGACCTTTAAGTCATACCGCCAGGAATTCCGGAAGGACTGAGCCGTTACGGTGCTAGGAGGCGTTTAGGACTATTGTTCTGGAACAACCAGCTGAACAACAGACCGACCACCCAACAAAACCTGTGAATGAAGCAAGACAGAGGTAACAGCAGCCTCCCACAGAAAACAAGCCACAGAGGTTGGGGTGGCTCATCCATTCAGTCAGCAAATCCATCCTGAGGACCTTCTATGTGCCACATGTTGTTCTGGCCACTGAATATACAACATTGGCCAAGGCCCTCAGAACTTACAGCCTAGTGAGGAAACACGTACATCAAAATTGAACATGCTGCAGGATGAGTGTGAAAATGGAGATGTCTGCAAGGTGTAGTGAGAATAGAGGAAAAAATCTGCATCTTTTAGGGAAAAACATGGGGAAAGTGTCAGAAAATGGAGGTGAGGACTGGCCATGTGAATGCTGCCCAAACCCCATGCTTGGAAGGGCCCTGGGCTTGACTTAATGCCCTACTCTTGCCATTCTGAAATTCTCCATAATTTTTTTTAAACAAGAAGCCCATAGCTTCATTTTACACTAGACCCTGTAATTACGTAGCTGGTCCTGGCTAAGGGATTTTCAGGTGATGAAGTGGGGGAAGATGTTCCAGCCAAGTCAAGTAACAGAGTGAAAGAAACGGACGTGAGGAATGGGAAGTGTAAAGTCTACTGAGAGTCACACAGCCTGACACAGGCTCACCTTGGGGAGAGTCTGGAGGTGTACGTGCCCATAAGGTGAGACAAGTTGTGAGATCTGAATCTTGAAGGATCTTGCGTTGGTTGCAGTCAAGTTTGGATTTTATGCCAAGGGCACTGCAAGTCATTCAAAATTTAGACCAGGTGAGCAGCAAGAGAACATTCTCATACCTGTGAGGTCACTGAAATGGCAAAGCAGAGATAAAGTGAAGGAGGGCAGCATCAGAGGTAGGTAGACTAGTAAAACTTACTCAGAAAACGCCCAGGAAATAAAAGCTGAACAACAGTAAAGGGGATTTTTAAGATACACAGGAAGAAGGTGGATAGAGACATAGGAAGAATGGAAAGAGATGGACACTGGCTGGATCGAGGATTTCGGGAAGAGGGAAAAGTGAAGAATGAGTGCTTGGTTTCTGACTTGAACAAAATGGATAGGATAAGATGCGGTCACTTGTGATGGGGGATGTAGAGGGATAACAGTGGCAAAGCAGTGATGATGGCTTCAGTTTTGACTACTTTAATCTTGAGGCAAACACAGTCTCCATCCTAGCTGGGCATGCTGGTGTGAAATTTGGTGCCGTGGTCTGACTGAAGAACTGGGAGTAGGTCAGTAGGAACTGGGAGTATGGGCCTGGAGGTAAGGGAGTACACTCACAGGGGGGCGTGCAGGGTGAGGAAAGGGGCAGCAGGGCCAGCAGTGCACTCTGGAGAAGGTTAGAGCACAAGGCTCCGTCAGGGGAGGTGGAACCTATAAGGCTTCTCGCTCCAGAGCGCTCAGCCCCCACTCCATGCCGCCCACCCACTGACATCACTTATTTCCCCCGAATCAGCCACATGTTGATGGAGCACATGCGGGCCAGCCAACTGCAGCCTCAGGAGACGCTGATGGCCGGGGCGGCTCTGGGGACCTAGCTACATTGCTCCCTCACTGACAGGTACATTAGGCGGATGGGTTGGTGTTTCTGAATCACTGAAGCTGGAGGTGGTGGAGCTCAGTGCTTGTCCCTGGTCCCACGGAAAGGGGGAATACCCAGTGACGTCATCAAAGGCTCACTGGCCATCATCTCCCAGAGCGAGGGAGGATGCAGGACACAGTGTTAGCCAGAGAGGATGCAGCATACGAGCCAGAGAACACATTTCAAAAGGGAAAGGACAGTCAGTAAATGCCATCAGGGAAAGGGGGGCTCCTTACTCTTTTCTAGAAGCCAGTGCAGCTGCATATTAACCGTGTGACTTTGCCCTCGTCTTTTTATTTTATTTTTTCTCGTGCTGGTTTGAACGCTGGACCCTGGTTCTCTCTCTCACTTACTCAGACTTCGTATCAGCAGCTTCCTGGCTGATGTCTGGCTCTTGACCACAACACAAGCCCTGGTTTCCCTTTGCAAGTCCAAAGTGGTGCTTGACATGCTGAGGGTGCTCCACCCTCCAATTGGCACTAGTTGGGCAAGGATAGATGACAATTCAGAATGGAGGGGGACTGACCGCCTTTTAGTCACGATGCTGACTTCAAACCAGACCCAAACACCCAAGGGCCACATACCTGGCTTCACACCCCTGTGCGTCCATGCTTTGTGTTGATTTTCTCTCCAGTCTTCCCCTCATCCCTGACATCCTGCTTTGTTCCCCCAGCTCCCTGCTTCCTGGGCCTCCTAGTCTTGTAATCTTTCTGTGCTCGCACTTTGCTTTTGGACTTACTGGCAGAAGCAGCTTCCCCTGGTGCTCCTCAGGACACGCGTGGCACTCAGCTTCTGGTGAGTCGAGCCCTGTCTGCCATGGTGATGGAGAATGTTTTGATCTTGCTGTTTTTCCCCAGAGTCGAACTCATCATTTTAAACCAATAATACAAGAGTTATGGGATGCTCATTTTTCCCTACCCTTTGACATTCTCCATTGGAAGGTCCTTTCTGGAGTCCTTTCAGATGACAGCTTGAGACTGAAGATAGTGAGGTTGCCCTGACTGTACTTGGGGTAGGACTTCTATGTAGTAAATGGTCATCTTGGCTCCATTCACTCTATCATCTGAGTTCTTGTGGGATTCTGCTGGGTGAATCTCCTTTATAGCATGTACTCTTTTATGGACCATTTCTCAAGCAAAAAAAAAATGCATCTCCAAATGCTTCACTTTAAAGCTTCATGTAACACTTTAAGCTTTACTCATACCTGTGCTTTAGCTATGAAGTAGATCATTTCAGGAGTCTCTATTTCTCACATACTTGTTTGGGAGGAATGTTAAGGGATTCTGCAAACAGCTTCATCGAACACAGATCCAAACGGAAAAAAATAAATAAATAAAGAGGAAAAACACTATAGAGAGTCCTGGCGAGGCGTTAGGTCGCAGGGGCCTGATCACCGTCTGCGTCTGGATGCGATACGAAGTCTGCCTTCCTAAAAGAGGAAGGAATGCAAGACCAGCTCTTGGTCCCTTAGTTTGGACAAGCTGCCTGTTTGGTGGTTGGAGCCACGCTAAGAAGCTGTTTTGAGAGCGTGCGTGCGTGTGTCAGGAGGACGAAGGGCCAGGAAGTGGGAGAGGGAAGGAAGGACTGCAGGAGTTACTACAACGACAACGGGGGATTCGCTGGGATTTGCCACGAGGAGCCTCAGCTGGCGGAGCCTCCAGAGGTCGTACGAGGGGCAGCTGCTTCACTGGGATTTAGGACAGCCAAAAGGCTATGCTCTCTTGATTATTACTTACCTTAAAAAGAGAGAGAGAGCGCGCGCTAAATCCTGGCTGATAAGAAATAATATTTCCTAGTTCTTTCTATGACTTAAAATAGAAGGTCAAAATAGAGAAAACTCCATCCAGGTTTTCTTTAGCTTGACATTTTTGGCTAATCGCCATTGTTCCCAGGGGCGTTTTCTAGCAGCCACTCGGCCAGTTACGGGGCCCTGGAAGGGTGTGCGGAGAGGGCTAGCAAGTGCCCCTGGGGATCTGTATCAACTGTCCCCTCAGGGATAGCAAGGGGCACGTCCGTCCATCCCTGCACCCGGAGCATCTCACTGCCAGACTCCTCTCTGGACCACAGGACAGAAGTGTGCCTGACCTGCAGGGTGTGGGCCACCACCTCTGGCCCTGATTCCCCTTGTCCTTTCAGTCCTGGGTTTTCAGTTGCTCCCATGGTAATGTCTGGCCCTGATACTGTATATCCTGATCTCACTGAACTTCCAGTATCTTTTGTACATTCATTCAACAAGCTATTATTAGGCTCCTACCACGTTCTCAAGGAATTCATGATTTAATTTGAGTAAATGGGTAGATAAGATATAAAGTATTGGTAGAGCTTAAAAGTCATGAGCCAAGTGACCCTTCACCAATGAGGTAACTTCTATAATCTGGTTAAAATATTTATTTTGAAGATTGACGGGGAATCACTGAACTCATGCAGATAAGTAGGTTGGTTCTCAAATTACTTGTTGTCCAAGTGGATTTATTAGCCCCCTTAAACGTACTTAATAAATGGCCACCACGGGGCTGAGTTATCTATCTTGAAGTTTTTCTCCCTCTGATTATATATTTATTACAGGCTAATGCCCATGGCAAAAAGATAAGGCATTCTCTTTGGGAAAAAGAAAATTTATTAATATTTTCCACTCACTGAATTATCAAGAAAGACTCCCCCAATGTCTGCTCCTTGTTCATGGATGACACAAATCACAGACAAGATTATAGATGGACAGTGGAGGCTCCCCGCTCAGTTACTAACAACTAATGGCTAAACTCAGTGTCCTGCAGGGAGCCTATTTCCCTTTCTACAACATGGAGGGCAAGATGGTTTCCATCAATTTTAAGTTCCTTTTAAATTCTCAGTTGAGGAGTACTGAGTTCGTGCAAAATGCCTACCCAAAGAAAACAAAATAATGACATTTGCAGCAACACGCATGGATCTAGAGATGATCATACTAAGTGAAATAAGCCAAAAAGAGAAAGACAAATATCATATGACATAGCTTCAGAGTTCTTCTCGGGGTTCTTTCATTATGTGACTCCGGGCAGGCGAGCCCAGCGAAGCCCAGACAGGCATCACTCCCCAGCAGACAGCTCCGTCTAGAGCCACCATTTTAAACTATCCCCAAGGCTCCTGTAGTCAACCTTTACTTAAAGATCACTTCTAGGAGGCATCCAATGTCTGGGCTGCCCTGGGCTGCGGCTTAAGACAGGCTTCACCTTATTTGCTGTTTATAGTTTTGAGCTGACAGCCACTTAAGGGCAAGAGATTTCAGCTGCCGCTACCCGTTACGGCTTTTGCCACCAACGCATTTGCCAGATAGCGCTAGCCAGAACTTTGTGGAAGCCCGGAAACAACTTTAATACGGCAGAGGGGACAGAGTTCAGATTCGGAGTTATTTTCCTGCTGTTATCTGCCGTGTCCTCTCTCACACTGGACTGTGGGGAGTTGTTACTGTTGCAGGAAAATGGCACCAGAGAAGATGGTCGTGTCCCAGGTCTCCGGTGAGTCCCTGGGACGCGCCCCACCAAGTGAGGGTCCTTGGCTTCTCACGGGAAAGAATTCAAGAGGGAGCCATAGCAGAGTGGAAGTAGATTTATTTAGGGAGACATACACTCCAGAGACAGAATGCAGTCCGTTTCAGGAGGCAGACTGACACCAGGGCTTGGGGTCGTCTAGGGAAATCAGAGGGGCCCTGGGGTGTTTCATTTTTATGGGATAGGTTATCTCATGGGCTAACGAATGGGAGGATTAATCCAACTATTTGGGGTAAGGGACAGAGATTTCCTAGAATTGCCCCCCCACACCCACTTTCTGGCGTTTTATGGTCAGCCTCAGAAGGGCGTGGGGCCTGTGGGTGTGCCACTTAGCTGCTAATGCATTACAGTGAGCCCACACCGAGGCTCGGGTTCTACTGGGAGTCAAACCTCCTGCCATCTTGGGCTGAGGTGGTTCTAACCATTAATGTCTTCTTCTCAATTGCTGTGTCATTCTTTTAATAGTTGTACCCTGCCTCCTTCCCTCCTATCAATGGCATCTGTGTGGCCTACAGTAATAATTATTTATTCATCAGGCATACGAGGTGCTCAGCTCTACTGAAGTCACCCACATTATGGGCTAGAGTGACTGGCATGACTGATCTCTGCTCCCCAGACTCAGCCTCAGGAGGCTAGCCTGGGCATGTTATCCCAGTGAGGGGAGAAGGTTAGCAGAAACCCTCGTAGCCTCTGGAGGACTAGGCTCTGACCTCATGCACTGTCAAGTCCAAACTGTTGGACAAAGAAAGTCTCGAGTTCAGTTCATTTTTAAGACATTGAGAAAGGAACTCTGACAAGAACTGTCAAGTCCCAAGACACATAGATGGATGGGTACAGGGAGAACTGAAGCATTGACATTATCCGTGCAACCGACCACAGTTACTTGCGCCCGTCCCCTCTTCCCTTGGAGCTCTTTACCTGTGCCTTACTCACCTTTCTGTCTGCCGGTTCCTAGGACAGCACTTGTACGCAGACAGTGCCCAGTAGGTCATCTTGTGTTATTCTGAATGTGACTGTACCCAGAATAGGCTCTGACACTACAATGGCAGTTTAGACTTTTCCTTATAACCACCACATCAGTCCTAGGGAGGCCTCCTCGCCCTCCACCCACACCTACCTGGGCATTTTCTCTCTACATTTCCCTAGAGTGTGTCTAGGTCTGGATTCTTTGTATTTATCTACTCAGCATTCATTAGGGCTTTTCATGTCCTTTCTCGTTTGGAGAAAATATTTAACCGTTTTCTCTTCTACTGTTTCTTCTCCACCATGCTCTCTAGTCTCTCCTTCTGGGATGCTGAGATACCTGTCAGATTTCTCGTTATAGCCTTCACGTTCCTTCACTCCTCTTGTACGTGTATCAGCTCATCATCCTTTTTATTTTCTCTCTTTTTCTCTGTCTTAAGCTATGTTGTTTGTTCTTTGTTATCATCATCATCATCGTTATTTCTCTCTTCAGTTATGTCTAGTAATTTATTTAACAATGTACTTCATGGTACTGGCTGCATCTTAGAACTACTCAGCAGATTAAAAAATATATAAATGCCTGGCCCTGCCCCCAAAGTTCCTGGTTTAATTGGTGTGGGTCAGGGCATGAATATCAGTATTTTTAAAGCTTGAAGGTGATATGTAACTGGAGTTAGCAACACTTGATGAAAATGTTCTTGGAATTTTTTCTCAGTGATCATACTTTTCACGTCTAGTATTTCTACTTTTTTTTTAAATCCACTGGATCTTATTTCATAAACCTTATTCTTGTTTTGTGGATGCCATTTTTTCTTTAGAACATTTTAAACACTCATAACTTGAGTCTCTTTTACATTGCTCTATTCTCTGTAACTCCTAAAGTGTCAGTTCCCCCAGTGGCTATGTCTGGCAGCTGTCTATCATGGTAGTGAATCTCCTCACAAGCTTTGTAATTTTTGACTGTGAGTTCATCTTGCATCTTGCGCCTTAGGATGGGATGGCCTCCTAATGAGCTCTTTGCCTGTGCCTGGTCCTGTGGCTTTCACTGGCTCCAAGTCAATTTTTATGTAAGTGTATCTTCTCAGGGTTTATACTGTACATACAGCTCAAATTCAGGGTTTGTATCTAGCCACACAAAGGCTTGGTGTTCTGAGCTCAAGCAAGTGGCAAGTGACACATTTTACATCCGTTACCTAGTGCCAGAGGCTAATTTTCAGCCTAGAGGATGAGGGTATCTGGGATTTTGTTTGGGAACTTACAGTATCTTCCTGGCTCCAGTTCACATGGGAGCCCAGTTCCGGTTCCTGGCTGGTCTTCCTGATGGGCATCTTTGCGTCCAACTCCTGTGCTTTGCTGTGGCCACACGTCTTCAGCTCCTGTGCACAACTGTGGATTTTCCTTCCATTTTTCTCACATGGAAATTTCCCTTTCTTGCTCCTAAGCTACTGTATGTATTTTCTTAATATAAATCTTATTTTATTATAGCTTTATGTTTAGGAAAATGTGCAAAGACAGAGAGTTCCCATACACCCCACCTACAGTTCCCTCATTGCTAACCGCTTATATTAGTATGGGACTTGTGTTACAACTAATGAATTAGTATTAGTACATCGTCAAGTAGCTAGAATCCATATTGGATTTATATTTGCTTAGTTTTTAACCTAAGTCCTTTTTCTACTCAGAGATCACATCCACAGTACATTTCATTTTGTCATTCTGTCTCCTTTGGCTCTTTTTGGCTGTGACAGTTTCCCAGGCATTTCTTATTTTCGATGACCTCAACAGTTTTGAGGAGTACTGGTCAGATATTTTTATAGACTGCCCTTCAGTTGGGATTTGCCTGATGTATATCTCATAACAAGGTGGGGTGATGGGTGTTTGGAAGGAAGACCACAGAGATATCAAGGATCACACCATATCAAGGGTACATACTATCAATATAATGTGTCAGTATTGATGTTGACCTTGGTCTGCTGGCTGAGGTTGTGTCTGTCTGGTTCCCCACTGTAACATTACTCTTTTTGCTCCTCTCCATACTGTCCTCTTAGGAAGGAAGTCACTTTGCACAGCGAACATTTTAGGAGCAGAGAGTTAATATTCGATCTCCTTGAGGGAGGAATAGCTGCATAAATTATTCTGAATTTTGCACAGAAAATTGTGTCTATTCTCCCCGACTGATTTATTTATTCAGTCATTTATTTATGTCAGTATGGCCTCATGAATATTTACCTTATACTTTGGGTTATAATCCAATATTACATTACTTATTTTGTTGCTCAAAGGGCTATATAATTTGGACTATTGGGAGCTGTTTTCAGGTGGCTCCTGTGTTTCTTGGGAATACCATCATTGTGGTGGGTTTTTTTTTTTTTTTTTTCCTTCTGAGAGCTTACTCTCTGGCACCGAAAGATGTTCTGGACTCATCTCGTATACTCTCTGTCTCTCTGTCTTAGTCTTTGAGCTAATCATTTCCCCAAATACCCCTCATTTCTTCTATTGGAAAATGGCATTAGAAAGTCAGATCTGGGGTGCTCAGGGTACTTACTGGTTGTTACTGGAGTTCGTTGCTTCTATGCTCCTCCCAGCTGACAAAGCAAGGAAACGTGTGTGTATACTAATCTCTGTGCATACACTTACCCCTAAATTTTTCTGTATGTATCTGTCTCCATGTGTATTAAACTAAGCATGAGTCTGTGCTCTAATCCATTGCTGTGTGGGTTCTGTAGCCTCCTCTTGCATGTCTGTGCCTCCTCCCTGATTCCTGCCATCTCTTAACCATACAACTCCAGTGTACAGTGATTTCAGAATTGCTAACCCACATCCCCAGGGAAAGAACTTTATCAACAACACATGTGTACAATTCTCATCGGCTTTAGCCTTACTGTCTTCACTCAGGTCCAAAGTTACTGAGGCTGGCACATTCCCCCCACCCCCATCCACTTCAGTGGTGGTCTATGTTGCGTTTGCAGTAGAGTGAGAATTTCTGTCACAATCTGCACTCTCTTGCTGGGATCCCAGGTATCAATGTCTTGTTTTTTCAGCTTGCATACACGGAGTTTCACTCTCTGTACTGTAATGTTGTTTGTTTTGAGAAATTCAGAGTCATGTATCCACCATTACAATGTCATGCAGAATAGTTTTCCATTTGAAAAAAAAATCTTTGGGCTTCACCAGTTCAACCGTCTCTTCTATCCATGCTTCAGGCCACCACTGATCTGTTTACTATATCTGTAGTTTTCTAGAATATCATATCAGTGGAGTCCTACAGTATATAGCCTTCTCAGGTTGGCTTCTTTGGCTTAGTAATTTGCATTTAAGATTCAGCTATATTTTCATATAGCTTGATAAGACAAATCAAACACCCTTTTTTGCCACTGTATAGTATTCCATTGTAAGGATGCACCACAGTTTTCCCTCCACCTATTGAAAGACATTTTCATTCCTTCTAGTTTGGGGCAATTATGAATAAAGCTTCTATAACATTTGTGTACAGTTACTTTTATGTCTGTATGTATAAAATGTTTCTATGTTTTGAAATATACACATATTTGCTTTAATAGCACTTGTATGTAAACTTATGAGATGTTATTCTGTGTTCAGTCTAGCATCTCCATACAGAAACCAGCAAGAATTAGCCCGATGCCCAGATCTTGAAGGCTTAAAAGAGTTCCTCAGTACATAAGTAATTGGACCTGAAGTGGCAGAGAGTACCCTGCTTAGATGGGGAGAGTCATGCTCAGGGCTGAAGTTGCCGCTTTGCCACCCACATACATGAGGCCACGCTGAGTGAACACAGTCCTGTATGCAGAGAAGGCAGCTCTGCACTGGGAAAATCACAAGCACACAAGGAGAGGCGAGACAGAGAGAGAAAGGAACAGAGAAGGCGTCTCTGTTTCAGTTTCAGATCAGCGTTCCAATCTCTATCTCATTTCCTGTGGTGTCCTGCTATATTTTCTGTTTAGATTCCATGAGATTCCTTTTCATCCATTCAGTAATCTTCCTTTTTTACTGGAGCAGCCTGGTTCCTTGAAGCCCCACTGCTCCCCACAAAAAAAGCAAAGCAAAACCTTCAGAAGAATAATTCTATTGCTTGTGTTTTTGATAAAAAGAGATAATGAGAGAGAGATTACTGGAACCCCAAATCTCCCAACCCTTACCAGCTGCTGCTTGCTGTGGCTTAGTGATACCCCACCAGGTCTCTGAGACAAGCTTGAGAGACTCCTCCAGGGCCTCCAGGATCTCTCTTAATAAAAATGAAAGCGTGCACTACACTGTACACCAAAAATTGACACAACATTGTAAACTGACTATACTTCAATAAAAAAAATACATATACCAAAAAAAAAAGAAAGAAAGCAAACAGGGCCTTGAATACCTCAGTGGTCTTCTTTCCTTGTTACCTAGCGTGCACTATGTTGCACCTCAAGAAATTGATCCCTACACCTGCTCCATGCTCCTCTTTCTGGCCCCAAACTAATTCTATTAGAACTTTTAAGGACAGGGAAACTTTTTTTTTTTTGGCCAAGAAAAGAACCCAGTCCCTTGACACACAGCTACACAGATGCTGCAAGAATGAGCAGCAAGAGTCAGTAAAAGGAACCAAGAGGGAAAAGAGCTTGCTACTATAGTAATCTCCACCCCTTGAACACATTCTACTCTTTCTCTTATTTTATGTATCATTTTATTTTGTACTGAAGAATAGCTAACATGAAGTGCACTCATCTTCAGTGTATAGCTTGGTGACTTTTTACACATGTATACATCAATGTAACCACCACCCAGATCAAGATTTAGAAAATTAAAATCAGAAAGTTTTCTGAACTTCATATAAATGAAATCCCATAATATGTACTTTTTTTTTTGCTATTTCATCTAAGTTGTTGCACATATCAGCAGCATGTTATAATTTTGTTGGCTGTGTAGTATTCCACTATATGAACCACCACAATTTACTTATCCACTCTTCTGTAATTGTATATTTGACTCTCGTGAATAAAGTTGTTCTGAGTATTCATGTACAAGTCTTTTTTTTTTGTAGGCACATGCAGTCATTTATGTTGTATACTTACCCAGGAGTGGAATTGTTGGGACAAAGTGTAAGTGTGTGCTTAGCTTTACTGCCAGTTTTTCAAAGTGGTAGGACAAGTTTATACTCTGCCATTAATGAATGAGAGTTCCAATTGCTCTATATCTTTGCTAACATTTGTACTCTAAGTCTTTTAAAATATTTTAGTAGTTGCTTAGTGGTATTCTTTGTTTTTTTGTCCTTGATCCGTAGCATGACTCTTCCTCAGATTTGGTTCTTCCGAAAGTTAGCAGATTTGGCAAATGGGGTTCTTCTTCTATGATAATTTCCTTGTCATAATAGTGGTTTCTTGGAAGGGGCACTAGAAAGAGAGATGATTGATTAATGATGCCTTTCACCAGCCCAAAAGGAAAAGCACTGGAGTACATACAAAATATTTATCATCCTGAGATTAAAGTATGCCACCAACAATTTCTGAGGAGCAATGAAAGTGACCACTCATCTCCTCGCCTCTGACAGATGAAAGCATACAGTCAGCTCTACATCCACGGGAACCTGTTGGATTAGTTCATGCACATCTCACGGATATACTCTGTATTGAAGGTTGAATCATTAATACGTGACCTCTGCCACTGTCAGGACACTTACTGAAAGAAGAGTTTTGAAGTTTCCAGCAATAAATTTTCCATTTCTCTTTTAAAGTTTTTAGATTTTTGCTTTTCTTAAAGCTGTTTTTAGATACATAATATTTTAGAATTTTTATGTTTTCTTGATAAATCGACCCTTTTATCAATATGTAATGTCTCTTTTTATTCCTGGTAATTTTCTTTGCTCTGAAGTATAACTTGTCTGATAATATATAGCCACTTCGGTTTTCTTTTGGTTAATGTATGCATAGTACACCTCTGTCCATTCTGTAACTTGTAACCTAGGGGTGTCACTGTATGTGAAGCAAGTTTCTTGCATGTAGTCCTTCTGACAGTCTCTGTCTTTCCACTCATTTCATGACTTTTTAAAGAATTTTTATAATAGTTGATTTAAAATCTTTTTCAAATATTATCAACATCTATATCCTTTCAGTGTAGGTGTCAATTGTCTTTAACATGAGTTGAGATTGTCTTGATTATTTTTATGATGAGTAATTTTGGATTGTATCATGCACATTTTGAATATTATGTTATGAGACTCTGTGCTTTATTAAATCCTATAGAACATGGTGGTTTCTTCTGTGGATTGTGGGCTTAATGTCAGCTCTGTTTTTAAAGCTTTTAATTTAAATTTGTCTTATATGTGTGCCACTCATTGGATAGCCTGGGGCCTGTGTGCTGGTCTGTTGCTTAGGGAAGTTCTCATACTATTTGATATGCTGTTTAATATCAGATCCATACACCATTAAGTGCTAGAGTGACCCCAGAAGTTTATCAGCAACCTTATGGGGTCACCTTCCTAAGGTCCTCTCTCTCCGCTTTCTCTCTGGTGTTTTCCAGTTTCCTGAGGCTCCCTCTTTTAGTCTTCTAGCCAAAAAGCTGAGATTTTAGATTTAATGGAAAAGAAAATATGAAAACAAATATATGTATGTGTATGTATGACTGGGACACTGTGCTGTACACCAGAAACTGACACATTGCAATTGACTATATGTCAATTAAAAAAATAATTTTATTAATAATATTAATATTCACCTCTTCAGTTCCCCCCTCCTTTCTTGCTCTCTCTCCTTCATCTTTAGAGGAACCAGAAAGCCCCCCCCTCTGTGTGATGTGCACAGAAGTTCCAGCCACATGAAGATGCCTTGGAATATCAGCTTCTATTAGCAAGTGTGTGTTTGTGTCCATGCGTGTGTGTGTGTGTGTGTGTTGTAGAAAATGCAGTTTTCTTTCTAAGAAGAATATGGTGACATATCTTAATTTAATAGTACTTTAAGGGCATCTTCAATCTATCTACTTGTTTCCTATAGTATCTGTATTCCCAGATACCATACTATCTTTGTAATGGGTTGGCCATGACCTTCTGCCCATGGCCCCCCACTGACCAAGCAAGAACTGTAAACAGTTCATTACATAAGTGGAGCGACCCAGCTGCCCTGGTGGGCGCAGCCGGACGGGCAGGAGTCCTTGCTGATGGCTCTAAACCTTCCCATTGCTTGTTCAGATCAGCACCTTGGGAAGCTTGAACAGCAGACTCTAGAAGACAGCTGGGGGAACAAGAGATAAACAAAGAGAAGATCGTAAGTAGCAGCCATGATGTAACAGAAGCCATGAGAAACAGCAGCCCCGAGGTGACGAAATCAGTTCGTGTGGATGAACCAGCAGGTGGCTACGTGCTAGCACAGAAGGGCACGGAGCAGCCATGACTGACCACTGGGAAAAAAGGCAAGCAGAGAGCCAGCTTGCTGGGACGGGGTGACTCCTCAATGCTGGTCCGCTTCTCTAGAAGGCCCGAGTTCCAACGGCAGGTGCCTCTCCTACTCTGCGAGACCCAGCTCTAAATCTGCTGCCTTTATTTTTCTCTTAGTTTAATTCCCCTACATCCTGCAACCTGACTGTTACAGGAATCTCTCTCTCTCTGTCCTTTGCAAGAAAAAAAAAAAAAAGACCTGATTAAAGCAAAAAGAGGACAGCTACTGTGATTCAGAAATTCAGAGATACTTGCCTGGCAGAGACACCATGATCACGAAGGTGGTTTTCCCAGGGTGAGGCTTATCCATTGCACTCTTGCAACTTCCCCAAATGTGCGAAACTTGACTCCATAATTTGTGGTGGTGGGGTACTGCGTTTGTGCTTCCCCATCTCCCAAAACTAAGAAAAAGGAAAAATTCAGAGACGTCTGTCTGTTCCAAGTGTTTCTGGTTCTCTAAATGGAGTCTGTCTCTCTCTCTTCCTCTTTCCTTAGAAGCAGCCTCCCCCCTCTTCGTTTTGACGCCTTTCTCCCCTGGTCAGGTGTGATGGGAGCAGGGATGCCCCCTACCTGGGAAAAGCCCCTCCTGTCACTTGCTGTGGTTTTATCCTACAATTATTCAGGTTTGAGGGGCAGAGTGTGACCTCTCTCCAGAAGCGGAGCAAATGCTCTTCCCTTTGTGCCTGTCCCAGGGCCTGGATGCTCAGGCTCTCACGTCTGCTCCAGGATGGGATCTGACCGCTTGAGTCAAACTGGTGGCGCATAAATGTTCTCTACACCCCCAACCCCAAAACATAGATATGCACCCTCAGGTCCACGAGCTCAGGTTCTGGGTCCCTTCCCTGCAGCCAAATGTTCTCATCCTGGGGTCTTCAACTCTGGGGTCCTCCTTGCTGGTCTCTGAAGCTGCTGCTCCTCTGCGTAGCTCTGCCAGGCCCTGTCCCCTCTACCCGCCGGCCCTGCTGCTACTCTGTGGCTTCAAACCGTGCTTTCCTGGGACTTCCTGCTAAATTCCCATCTCCGCAATGCTGACACCTTTATTGTTCCTGGGCCCACACAGCGCAATCACAGCCCCGCAGTGGACTGGACTTCACCAGAGAGTGATGACTCCTTCAGACAAATAACCGAAGCTCATTTTATGTGGTCAGCGAGCTCTATGCAACTTTACGTGCTACTCGGACTTGTAAGAAGTGCCCCCTGTCCTCCTTCCACTCCCTGAGTCCTGTGTCTGAGACTGCTTGGGCAGCTCCCCCGGGGAACGCCGTCACCCCGTGCACACGGCGCGGGCGCAGGCCTACTCAGCTGACGCTCAGCTTGCCAAGTCGCTGAAGCCCTTGGGATCCTTTGTCTAATCGAATTTAATAGATTTTTCTATTAAATTTTATCAAATAATTTTTATTTCATATTTATTTATTTTAATAAATAACAAGATTATTTTAATAAATATTTGCTTATTTAATATTTATTTTACTAAATAACGTATTTATTTAATATACAAATGCTTATTTTATCTATTGAATTTTTATTAAATCATTTTAAGAATTTTTAAATACTTCTTTAATTATTAAATTTAAAAAATTAAATAATTTTCGAATCTAATCTAAGTTGCTATTGCTCTTCCTAAGGCCTGGGGTCCTATTTAGATAAACCTCAGGAACCTCATTATGACCTTCCCCTGCCCTTTTCTCTGAAGGGCTGGTATATTTAGTCCAGTCAGGACTGTTTACTCATGATCTTGTCTCAAGATGCCACAAGCGATGGATTTCACATAAATCTCTAGTCCAGCTCTGCTTCATAGGACTTAGCAGTCATCTGAGTTTCTTTATAAAATGTTTTTTTTGCATAACAACAAAAAGTAGAAGGTATGTAAAGGCGGAAAGAATCGGGATTCAAATGGATCCAATGTGGTTAGAAAAGTTTCTGTAACATCTCAGGAAACTCAGTGCTCTTCCCCCCACACTCTAATTTCTACCTTCCATTTTACTACAGAGGCTGCATTACTGCTGTCACGCCGCATGACATTAAATTACCGCTGGAAGCTAGCCAGCTAGGCAGACGCTGGAGTCTGGATGAAACGCCAAGTGGGTAAATATTCCAAGCTTCAGGAAAAGCAAAGGCAAACGTGAAATGCAGTGAACTTGAGTTCAGGCATGTTTATTTTGGCTTACAGTCTGTACAGAATGGAAATTCCATATATGGGTCCTTCTCACCCTTTGAGCTCTGCCAGCTAAAAGGCAGACCTCACTAACTCATCAGCCTACAGACTGTCTTTGAGGAGGGGAAATGTGAATAGCGGACACTCGAGAAACTCATAATGCTACTCACTCCTTCAGCAATAAACAAGGGCAGTGGCCTTTTAAACCTGCTTTCATGTCCAGACCTCACCTGCATTTTATCTGCTAACTAAAGTACCAATGATGTAGCTGATCACTACTCATTTTCAGGTTCCAGCTGAAATGCCCCTTCCTCCAGGAAGTCTTCCCTGACAACCTTAGTCTGAGTTTGCTCAAACTTCTTGCTGCTTGCTCTCTTAACTCGATGGATTTTCCTCTTCTTATTAGCCGTCATAGCCCACTTAAAAGTATGCCATTCAGACCAGACTGCAAGCCATCTGAGGTTAGAGCCCACGTCTGTTTTCGTCATTGGTCTTGGCACTTGGTAGGTATATTCTGTCCAATTCCGTGGAGATACGGGTGGAATATAAGGGACTGTCTCTTGGGAGCTTTAATTTATTTTCAGAATCAGAGCACACAACACTTGGAGAGGACCTTGGTGGAGAGAGCAGAGTTGGTGTGGAGACAGGGAAGTGACGCTTGCAGAATACCCACCTGTTCCAGGCAGCTTGCGAGATACTTCACACATCTTGTCTACTTACTCTTTACAGCCACCCTCAGAGATCACCTAATCCAGCTTCTCACAGATGAGAAACTGGAGAGGAACGTTTTCAGGGGCAACATGAAATGTCCCTGTTTATGCACGTGCGTACGTGTGTATATTTTCACGCCCTGTTGAATGACACCAGGACTTCTGTAGCTTCCTAGTCTGACGTGTCCTTCATGTATTAGTCACTCACAGACTCACACTATCCTTCAAAGTCCAGTCCAAGCATTTTCTCCACCTTAAATCTTCCTAGGAGAAGCCTTCCTACTCCACCACTAACCCTTTCAATCAGAATTAAGAATTGCTTCCTTTGAATCTCTTTTGAACCAGAGTTTCTATCAGCTACATGAATGTAGTCGTTCAGTGCAGGGGCTTCACACACAAACTCTGAGCTTAAATACTCCTCCCCCATGCATTAGCCCTATGCCCTTGGACAGGACACTTAACCTCCCTGGTTTGTTTATGCACTTGTATCAGTCAGGGTTCAACCAGGGAAGCAGAGCTGGAAGGAGATACATAATGAGAGATTTTTTACCAGGGATTGGTTTATGTGATTGTGAGGTCTGAGACTAAAATCTGCAAGGCGAGGCTGTCAGGAAAAACGGGCTGGAACTCTAGGATCGAAAGCTGTAATTTCTTCTTCATCAGGGGAGCCTCAGGTTCGATCTTAACATCTTTCAACTGATTGAATCAGGCCCACCCAGGTTACTGGGGACAATCTTTCTGACTTAAAGTCAACCGATAATGGGCTTTCATCATATCTACAAAGGATCATCACGGCAACACTTAGAGCAGTGTTTGGCTGGATAACAGGGGACTATAGCCTAGCAAAGTTAGCACCTCAAAAGGCGATCATACTAACGTAGCAGGAGGGGGGTGATTTGGGGCAGGGAAGTAACAATAGAACCTCCCTCCCAAGGCCATTGTAGAGATTAAATGGGTTTATCCATATCATGGATTTAGAATAGTGTTTGTAAGTGACAAGATCTCAATAAATGTTGACTCTTAATACAGTGTTTTTTATATTATAATTACTTTTATGCATCCACTTTCCCTCCTAGACTTTGAATTTTTTTATTCATACTTGTACCCAAAGCTTTGTATAGAGCCTGACTTACAGCACAGATTGGTGAAATGTTATGATTGAATAATTACTTTTCTTTCAATTCTGAAATGGCTCGCAGAAAACCCAGAAGGCGGCCACAGAGGGACCCATTAATATTAAGACTGCTCTGCTCGTCTTCATGGAAGCTCTTTCTTGCGCTGGAGGGCTACAGGGATATAATATTTTGGGCCATTTTCCAAAGAAGGAAAGGACTATGATGGTTCCTACCAACTGAATTCCACAGCTTTTTAAAAATATATATATACACTTCTAATTGTATACAAAATGTTATAATTTGGCAGCAGGCCAGATTAAGAGAAGGTCCACCAAGTGGTCTTGGGATTTGAAAATATATGGAGACTAAGAGGAATTCATTTGATTTTCTGCAGTCACTGTGTAAAGATTTTGAAAGGAAATAAACAAACAAACAAAATTTTATTTTCATGTTCCAGAGAGAAGGGCATCTCACCTGAATGTTACACCATGAAGAAAGGCTTTCCATCTGACAAAGATTCAAACAATGACAAAGGTCTAAACTCACATAACTCTAATAAGATAAGAGAAATAAGGTAAAATCCGCAGAGGTGTCCACATCTTGTGAAGCAGCACTTCCTGCATCCCTTCTGCCCACTCCTGGAGGTAGATTTGTTTTTACTTTATTATTTTGGGGTGGGAGGAGGTAATCAGGCTTGCTTATTTATTTATTCTTTAGAAGAGGTACTAGGGATTGAACCCAGCACCTTGTGCATGCTAAGTATGTGCTGTACCACTTGAGCTATACCCTCCCCGCTTGATTTGTTTTACATAGTGTAACATAATACTGTAGGAGGTGGAAACTCATCAGTAATCTCTTCTTTTATGTGGCAAGGATGTTGCAATATCTAAGATCCAAAAAGTATGGCTGCAGGAGAGAGATTTACATTAACTTTTAATTTTCGCTGTCTCTGTTTTTGTTTTTTTTTAACCTGTAGAAGTTACTTAGACTTGGCACCCGTGTGTGAATATCACCCTTAAGCAGGGGTGCAGGGAAAACTCGCTGGGGTGGCTTTAGAATGATCCTACTTGGAAGGCTAAGTGTAAGCAGTGTTGAACATTTAAGAAATGAGGATCAAATTCAGGTCATGGTAAATAGTTTGTGTGCTTATGGGAACTAAAAGACCAGAGGAAAATGTATAGTTAACTTTTCTTTTTATTATCCAACAGTTTGCAGCATTCAGACAGCATGCATACATTCTATGCCAATTTAGGAATGAGTTGTCACTAAAGGATTGAAAACACAGACACATTTTGTTTAACTTATATGTAAACTCCATCCTTCACAAAACCTTTGCATACTATATACATATGAATAACCAAATGCATAAAGTGTGATACAATTTCTGATTCTCTTTGTCTTAAATTGCTTTTTACAAAAACATTTTCAAGGTGGCCAGATTCTTACTAAAACTTGTTTGAGAAAGATCATTCATGACGGACCTACATTTGGTGCTAACTAGATGAACAATGGATCCTTCATTTATTCATCCACATGCTAGACGTTTATCCAGTGCTTGCTGGGTGCAGGCAATGTGACAGGCATCAGTAATATAAACATAAACCAGAAATTCTCGTCTAGCAGACAAGCTGCTCAAATGGTGTTAGGGAAAGACACGGTGACAGGGAGGACATTAGAGGGGTGCCCAGATTCTAAATGTTATAGAAAGCTTCTTGGAAGAAATCACAACCACACTGAGATTTTGAATGAATTCATCATGTAAAGTATGTATGTGTGTGTGATTGTGTGTCAGTGGGGAAAGGCAAATTCAAACTGTTGCAAAGAGGACAGAATATGTGGAGCTTGGTGGCCAGTAGAAGCATGGCACATTCCCATTGTACTGTATTTAGTACAATTAAAATGCAGAATGCTTACGTAGACTTGTTGTTACAGGAATGGGTGGGACCATGAATGGCAAGAAGACTGGAGAAGAAACCCAACAAAGGAAAGTGGTAGATGGATTCAAGAGATATTTAAGAGTTATATTTCAGAATCGTATTAAAGATAGGATCTCTACAGTGAGGGAATGAATGAATCAATGAAGGCATTGAGAGTTCTGCTGTGAATAAGTGGGTAGATGGTGACACCGTTTACCTAAAGAAATGACCCTGGGAGGAGGCAAGGTTTTCAGGGGTAGATGACACAGCTGGGTTGGATTTTTGAGTTTGAAGTGGAACAGTTAGGTATGTGGCTCTGGCTCTCAGAAGCCCCCACTGAAGACTCAGATTTGTGATTCATTATCATATAGACGAGGGCTTCTCAGCCTTGGCACTATTGCCTTTGGGACCAGATAACTATTTGATGTGTGGGCCATCCTGTGCACCGGAGGGTGTTCAGCAACATCACCTGCCTCTACCCACTAGATGCCAGTATCACCTCACCCAAGCTACTACAACTTACTATGCTTCTAGATACTGGCACATGTCCTCTGGGGGACAAAACTGCTCCAGCTGAGAACCACTGATGGAGATGGTACCCAATCCATGGGCATGGATGAGCACAGAAAGTGAGAGGAGAGGAGATCTCAGGATAGAACACTGAAAGACACCAATTTAGGGACTAAAAAGGGAGAGAAAATCCCATAAGAGAGAGAGATTGAGAAGACATCATAGAAGTGTGGGAAAAATACAGAAGCCAAGGAAAAAAATATTTCAATAAGAAAAATGTGATTCCTCAGGGCATATGTGGCCAGGAGGTTAATCCAAATGAAGCCTAAAAAGCAGCCCTCTGTTTAGCGGCAGAAGGCTACTGACATCCTCCCTGGAAATGACTTTAGTGGAGCAGGAGACAAAAACTGGAGGGCAGTGGAGCGAGAAGTAAATGAGTTTATATTGTAATATTTCCTCTGGCCAGACATGGCAGCCTAGGCAAGGGACTATGGCCAGTTAAAAAGGTCTTGGCTTGGGGTTTTTAAGAGAGGTCAAGGGATGGTTCAGTGGTAAACGGAAGCTGATGCCATTGGCAAGAGACTGGTTGAAGTGGAGACACATGAAATATAAAGTAGATGGTGAAAGAAATGAATACAAGAGAGAGCTGAGGGGTACAGACAGAGACCTCGGACTCGAGGGCTCTGTGAGCGTAAGGAGTAGGTAAAGTGCGAATCACTGAGGGGAAAATTTGGAAAGTTCAGCAGTAGAAAAGTCATCCAAAGTCAACCAAATTGGCCTTTGGTTTCTTTGTCGGTAATTCCAGGGGCTTAACCTAGATGCCACCAACATCCTTGCAGACTTGTTTTAGTCTTTCTGAACCTTAGGTGGTAGAAACAGGACTCTAGGAAATTAAAGATAATTGTATCTTTATGCCTGTGAAAGCTTATTGATACAGAAATTTTTCAAGATACAATTGTTTGATTTGGGGCCATGCTGATTTTGATGCTATAAATTTGATGCCGTAAGTTATTTTATTCCCAATGATTAGGTCTAACCAATGTTGATAGATTCTTTAATTCAGAAAGAGGAAACCATAGGTATATGAGATAATTTTTGGTGGTTCAATGACTTTACTTTGAGAAGAAGTATAAATTCTTAAGAAATACAAAGAGCACGGGACCTTTGTATTTGTGGGCTTTCTTCCTTGTTAGCATACTTTTGTGTGATTTCCCTCTCTCCCTATAATCTCTTCTAGTAGATTAACAATAAAGGCTTAAATTGTGTGTCTTATAGGAAAATGAGAAGGCTATAAACCAAGGTCAGAAAATACAGGGGGCATACACCTGTGTTTTGCCTTCTGACCCTCTAGGCAGACATCACTAACTGATTTGAATGCTCCTATCTCCTAATTGTGGACATGCGCTTACTGCCATGATTCTTACCTCTGGCTGAGCATCAGAATCATTTGTAGGCTTCATCCTAGATTTACTCAGTCAGCATCTGATGTACTCTGCCTAAGACTGATTTTCTACACATGCTCCAGGCAGACAGATTGGAATTGGCATTTGAGATGAAAGACACATTATCTCAGCTGGAGAGTAACTGACAACGCTCACCCTCCTCCCTATAGTCCTACTTCACAAAGTGGAGATGCATTTCACTTAAAAAGTTGTCAATTCTGCATTGGAGTAAGACTTAATTTGTAAATGAGCTAGAGCAAGACTGGAAGTAATTCTTGCCAAACCCACCCCCATCTAGTTATTATCTAGTTATTATCTTTAAAGGTAGTAGCATTAATAAGCTCAGGGAATAATTATTCCATTGGGAGTTGATCATTGATTCATTTATTCCAAAAACATTTATTAAGAGCTCATATAGTCTAAAGATGGCATGTATTTCAGATTGTAAGTGGAGCAGATGATAAATCTGTATAGTGAAGCAATTAACTAGCTCCAGTGCTCTTGTGTTTGTGCTTTCCCAACAAGGCAAAAAAATCTTTAAATAAAAATTCAATCATTAGGCTTTTCCTAAACAAGGGACATACAAAAAGCAAGAGTCAGAAGTGAGACAAAGTCAGATCATCTGAAATTGTGTCCCAAGAAGACTTTTGTGAGAGAGCCAGGATCAACATGGTGGGGTAAGAAGACCCTAAGCTCACTTCCACCTGCAGAGCACCACAACCACAACCACATATGAACAGACTCTCTGAGAATGACCTGAAGACTAGGTGAACAGCTCTTCTACAGTTAAGGATGTAAAGGAAAAAAACACCAAGATGGGAAGGAAGGGAAGAGGAGCAATCTAGTCAGGTGATCCAAAAGAGGGAGGGGTGTCACAAACTCAGAGGTCCTCCTTAAGAAAGAAGACATCTGAGCCCCACACTGGGCACCCCCACACTGGGCACCCAACACTGGCCATTGGCACTGGGAAGATAAGCTTCCCTTAACTAGTCTGAAAGTCAGTGGAGGGCGTGGGTGGTACAGCTCAAGCGGTAGAGCACATGCTTAGCATGCACGAGGTCCTGGGTTCAATCCTTGGTACCTCCTCTAAAAATGAATAAATAAATAACCCTAATTACCTTCCCCCACCAAAAAAAAAGAATTAAAAAAAAGAAAGAAAGTCAGTGGGGCTTATGACCTGGAAAATCAGAAGACTATGGGAAACCTGGACTCCACTCTTAAAGGGCTTCTGCACAAACTGACTTGCTCTGAGATCCACTGCAGAGGCAGAAGGTTAAAAACTGCCTGGTACTCTAGCTGCCTGCCAAGGCCACTCCAATGTGCCCCTCACTCCCTGCCTGCATTCAGCTCCAGCTCTAGCACCACTACCAAGCAGCAGATTCTAGTGTGAACCAGGAGAAGCCCTGACCAGACCAGTTCAACTCTATGCACCCTCATCAGGAAAGGCTTGATGAACCCAGAAAACCCAGTCTGCACTCACTTCAGCTCCAGCCTCAGTCAAGCCACT